TTTTTTTTTTTTTTTTACATTTGTAAGGGTCTCATGTTAGCCTGACACTGAAAAATGGCTGGAATAGGAGGGGAATGGGGGTTTACATGTCATTAGCAAGCTTACCATCAGCAAATACATTGGATGATGAAAACCATAAAGATATTTGCTTTTCATTCAGGGCACAAGACTCTGTCTGTTAGAGTACCGACGCATTTAGTGTGGCCAAGCCATAGACATCACAGGACTCATGGCCAGAAACGCAGGAAACGAGTTCGGGCAAAGGAGATCATTCCAGAAGACCAGGAGTCCCGTGGTAAGTGTGCATGGCCAGTTGCTCCATGATAGAAACATGGGGCTGATGGTAACTTGTGCTGAGGTGGGCGGTCATTCTTGTAAAACAAAGCGAAGTGTGCTGCTTATAAACTGCCCCATATCACTTAAAGCTCTCTCTGGGCAGTTTACAACTTAATTACACAGGCTACACATTGTCACCCCCCCTCCCCAGTGAACAGAATACAGTACTCATTCTACTAACCTTGGAAGGATAGAAGGCTGAGTCAACCTCGAGACAGTTACCTCAGCCCATCAGGATCCAACACAAGTTGTGAGCAGAGTCTTGGCTGCCATACTGCAGTTTAATCACAAGACTCTTCTTCCTATAGGTCTCTCCTGAAGAGAAGGAGCCGTTGCACCTCTCGCTTGGTACTAAATAACACATGCACACAGCAACTCACAACTCATCCATTGTCCGAAAGTAGTGGCTCCTTCAGCTCTTGCAGTATATTTCAGAAAGCATTTCAGAATGTGACAGTGCAGCTTTCTTCTCGCCACCGTTTATCTGCTTATTGATTTAATGTCCTGTTTCCTTAGACACCCCATCTCAGCGAGTTCAGTTTATCCTTGGCATGGAAGAGGATGAGGAGCACGTCCCCCATGACTTGTTCACCGAGATGGATGAAATCCATGTGAAAGAGGGTGAAGAGGCCCAGTGGAAAGAAGCAGCAAGGTAACAAGGCAGGATGCCGACTGTGTGCCAGCATCATGTAAAGTCCATGGAGCTTGATAGGATGGAACCAGAATCACAGTCTAATTTATGCTCTCAGGTGTCCTTGTAACAAATTGTATGTGGAAAAACCTCTTAGACCCCTTAAAATAGGGGGAACACCTAAGCAATATCAGAAACAAAAAAAATGGGAGCTCCCCTTGTAAATCATTTTATTCAGCATAGCCATTCGGAAAGAAATCTGAAGTTCTGGATCCTAGAAGTTGTTCCCACACATCATGATAGACTGGATTTTAAGGTTAAATTCTTTGTCTCCTTCTGGTCTCAGTGAAGAGATAGACTATATTCCCTTGCTGTAGTTTCATATTATTTCCCTCAGCTAACACACTAGCTCGACCTTTGACACAGCTGTGCAGTCTTTTGTTTATAAAACTGCTCTTCTTCTGCCACCACGGCACCATTTATCCAAAAAGGAGTGAGACACTGTCCACAAAAATATCATTAGAGACAGATTCTATATAAGCATAACATCAGCGGTATATAACCTGACTTCTTATGTCTACTTAAAAATGTTATTCTTCCTGTAAATTACTTTTAATACCTAATGTAAACTATGACAATTATATTAATGTATTAATGCTAGCACAATTTTTTTTAAAAAAATGTCTTATATGTTGTCCCAGTCAAATGAGTAGCTCATATATGTGCTCTTTCTGTTTTATTTATTGTATTATAGCCCCTGAAGAAGGCTTAAAGTGCAATAACCGAAACACTTTGGGCTTATCTTTGAATAAAGTGTTGATACCCATTTTTTACTTCCTGGGACCACCGTCTCTCTTTGCTTGACAGCTTCAGTGGATGTACCAGTCCTTTTTGTTCTTTTAAACATATTTTAGCTGCAGGTAGCTCAGTGATTCTGATATTTATCGTGGAACCAGATGTTGGGCGTTCAATTCCCCGGCTCTGCTTCCTGCAAATAGAGCCAGCCTGTGTGTCCTTGGGCAAGCTGCACAGTCCCAGGACACCCTCAAAAGAAGGGAAGGGTAAACCAGTTCTGAGTACTCTCTACTTAGAAAGCCCTGAAAAGGGTCACCATAAGTCACAATCAACATGAAGTAGTTTGTTAATTAGGAGAACAGAACGTCTGTTGGACAGACTGCCTGCTGTAGGCTAATGCTGGACAGATCACCTTCAGTATTAACTTGGGTATTTAGGGAGGTTGGCCTGGTAACCTTTCCAAGATGTGCACTGTAAGACTCAGAAGAAAGATGATCACTGCACCTCAAACATACAACTCCACTTAGGATGTCATTCAACAAACCAGGATTCTTTTTATCTAGGATACCACCTTAACGTTATTTTCTTTGTTGTGACATTCTAAGTATTCTTATTTTATAAGCAAACCAACTGTAACCTGGTGCTGGATCCTTGGGCTGATTGCAAAAGGTGTTGCAACGTTGCCAGCAATTTTGACAATGCACAGAAACTTCTTGTCTCACTGTTAAGATAATGTCATCACGTTATACTAATCCACCAGCCTCTGCTCGTTGGCAGCTCAGGCTACAGCAGAAGGAAAGATTACGATGTTTGCATCAGTACTTTCGATATTCCAGTAAATCTGATTTCTGCTTTTCTTTTCTTCTACTGAGCCGATAACTCTTAAACCACTGCCAGATCCCACTTGGAACAGAGTTCAGCAGTATCTTTAGTACAGAAGTGCACTTAATGCATTTGCAGACTATACAGAATGCATGAGTAAATGGACACTAAGTAGGAAATAACCATTCACCTAAGATAACACAAATCAAATCTTAAGAGCATGCATTGTTCCCTTTCTCACCTGCCTGATGTTGCCATCTTGTGGTAAAAGGAGTATTTTTGCTGGTCTCTTATGCTGCCGAATGTAGCATTTGCAGGTTGCAGCACAATCTGCTTTTCAGAATAAACAGATCAGAGCTGAAGGGACTGTGATGAAATCAGTGACTGTTGGCTTCCTTAGTTTAGTTGGTAAGCTCTAGAATCAGTCTAGTTACCCTCTGAAAGACTACACATATCTAGTTGCACCGATTCTTCGGCAAAGCAAAGAATGTATCATTCAGAATGTACTCCTGCAATGTCAAACTTAGGCTTAGTTTGTGGGGGAAAGATTACTTCACTGATGTTTCAGAACCATTGATGACTCCTGTAATCTAGATGGAGGACAAGGAGAATTTTTGTTGGCTGAGACAGAGGACATGCAAAGAGGAATCTAGCATACATTTGCACTTTACCTCAAAGATGCATGCCTCACTTGAGGGGTATGTGTGTGAACCTGGTCTAGGTAAAGGTCATAACTCAGTGGTAGAGCACACACACTGCAGACATATCAAGGCTATGCGGAGAGGAGTTGTGCTTTGGTTCCATATTTGGCATCTCAAGGCTATGCGGAGAGGAGTTGTGCTTTTGTGCTTTGGAGTAATACTACCAGTGGATTAGATAACATTGGGTGAGATGGGCTATTTGTTTTTTTTCCCTTTTTCAATATAAATCAGCATTATACAGAGCAGGGCAGGTGTACACCTATGATCAGCACCTTGTGAATTAGTTGCAAGTCGCTGCTGTGACTTAGGCAAGTTCACTCAGTCCAGAGTAAAATTCCAGTGGGATTCTGGCCAATGTTCTCAAGCCCTTGGATCCACCAACAGCTTGTCATGGGCTATGCTTAAACACATCCCCCTTTTCCCCCTTACAAGGTTACCCAGGTTAGTCAAGGTCTAAATTGTTTTGGCTTTGTAGTCGCGTAAAGCCCCCATTCCCCCATCAGCAATGGCCCTGGGTACTGCTGAATTGATAGCCGCCGATCATATGCAAGGTTGTTTATGGACAGTGTTTTAAAGATGTGAACAAATAAAGCAGGAAGGGAGAGATGAGAGTGGGAAGCATGGGCGGCTGCTAACACGGCTGCATAATAGTGTCTTCCAGCGTTTGTGTTCTTTTGAAACAGGGAGATAATGAGCTGCTAATTGACAGTGAAATGTCCTTAGGCAGAACTTCAGACAGAAGCCAGACCTATGATTCAGGGAGCCACATGTGCTTCAAAGCAACCATGGTCAGGGCAGAACATCATGCAAAATAACTTGTTGCTTAAGAAAGAGAATGATATGGGTTTTTGGTTGTGTGTTGTTGTTGTTTTATAGCCCCCTATAGCCTCCCACCATTAGCTGTGCTGTCTGTTGATGAAAATTGCAGTCTGATAACATTTGGGGGGGGGGGAACAGACATTCCAGGTACAGGAATGCTATTAATTTAGATCAAATGGTAGCATGTTTTCCTCTTCTTAAAAAGCTTTTTTAAAATGCTGGGTTGGTGTGCAAGTTCATTTGTTTACAGCAGGATTCTCCAATCTTGTGATTTCTTCATATCTTGGGCTGCAATCTCTATCAGCTCTAGCCAATACGGATAGCGATCAAGGATGGTGGGAATTGTACTTTAAAAAGCATATGTGGAAAACGCAAGCCAAGGAAAACAGCTTTTTAGTCACTGTTTTTCATTGTATAGAACAAGAGATGTAGATGCTCTTGAATAACAATCGGGTGTAGTTTTGTCCTGTCTAAATGGTGCCTGTGTTGTAGATGCTCTTGAATAACAATCGGGTGTAGTTTTGTCCTGTCTAAATGGTGCCTGTGTTCATGTGGAGGAACATTGTATATATTTATGTGAATGAAATGTTTGAAACCACCCAACATTGGATGTTGTTTGTGATTTCATGTATGTTGGGTCAAGGATCTCTGACACACTCTCTCTAGATGTCGAACTGGATAAACGCATTGGCAAAACAGCTATCATGTTCTCTAGGCTCACAAAGAGAGTATGGCTTAATAAGAAGCTGACAGCATATACCAAGATCCAGGTCTATAGAGCCTGTGTCCTGAGCACACTCCTGCACTGCAGTGAATCCTGGACCCTTTGTGCACGGCAGGAGAAGAAGCTGAAGACCTTCCATATGCGTTGTCTCCAACGCATTTTTGGTATCACCTGGCAGGACAAAGTTCCAAATAGAGTAGTCCTAGAATAACCTGGAATTTTTAGCATGTATACATTACTGAAACAGCGATGTCTACATTGGCTTTGGCATGTCGTGAGAATGGCTGATGGTCGGATTCGAAAAGTTCTCCTGTATGGAGAATTGGTTGCAGAGAAATCGCCCCAGAGGGAGACCACAGCTGTGATACAAGGATATCTGCAAGCAGGATCTGAAGGCCTCAAGAGATGGTAGAATTCGAAACGTTGACATCTCAGTGTTCAGCCTGGAGGCAGGCAGTGCAGCATGGCCTCTCCCATTTTGAAGAGGCACTTGTCCAGCAGGCCGAGGCAAAGAGGCAGTCCTGAAACCAGCAAAATCAGGGAGCTGGACAGGGGACAGATTGTATTTGTCTTCAGTGTTGAAGGGATTGTCACTCTCGAATTGGACTTCTCAGCCACAGTAGACATTGTTCTATAACAGTGTAATGACCTCTATTCAGAGCATGTTACCATAGTCTCTACCAGAGACTGAAGGATGTCTACTATGATGAGGAAAGCTGTTGCAGGCATTATGGAATAATATGCATTGATTATCTGTGTTGTGATCATTTCACTAGAGCTTTGTTGATTTTGATTGTTTTTCTGTGCATTGCTTGCAGGTGGGTGAAGTTTGAGGAAGATGTGGAAGATGGAGGAGAGCGCTGGAGTAAACCATATGTGGCTACCCTCTCTTTGCACAGCCTCTTTGAGTTGAGAAGCTGCATCATCAATGGGATCGTCCTTCTCGATATGTCTGCAAACAGCACCGAAGACATTGCAGGTGCTGCTTTTTGATAAATATACAGTATGTCACAGCAGTACACCTTGTCACATTTCATGAATATTTTAGTATATCTTTTCATGTGACAATACTGAAGAAATGACACTTGGCTACAATGTAAAGCAGTGAGTATACAACTTGTATAACAGTGTGAATGTGCTGTCCCTTCAAAATAACACAACACACAGCCATTAATGTCTAAACCGCTGGCAACAAAAGTGAGTACACTCCTAAGTGACAATGACCAAACTGGGCCCAAGTAGCCCTTTTCCTTCCCTGGTGCCATTAGTGTCACAAGTCTCAAGTGTGAAGTGGGAGCAGGTGTTATTGCTCTCACTCTCTTAGACTGGTCACTGGAAGTTCCACATGGCACCTCAGGGTAATGAACTATCTGAGGATCTGAAAAAATGAATTGTTGCTCTACATAAAGATGGCCTAGGCCAGTGGCAGTGAATCTTTTTGGGCCCGAGTGCCCGAACTGGAAAAAACAAACAATGGGTGGTGAGCCATGATGACGGCAGAACCAGATGTGGTGGCAGAAGGGGGAATCCTAGGCATGGAGGGGCCTCGAGACTCCACTTCATATCCGCTACTGGTGCTAGCTGCTCCGCATCTGAACTGGAAAAAACAAACAAACAATGGGTGGGGAGCCATGATGACGGCAGAACTGGAAGTGGTGGCGGAAGGGGGAATCCCAGGCATAGAGGTGCCTCGAGACCCCACTTCAGATCCGCTACTGGTGCTAGCTGCTCCGCATCCTGGCCCACCGCCTGTTGAAGCACTAGCACTACGGCTGTAGTC